CATGATACAATCTTACTCAGATTTCCAATTTTACTTTGTACTCGAGTGTGTGTATGTATTTAGTTCTGTGCAATTTTATCATATGCGTAGGTCTATTGGCCTTTAAACATGTTTCCCTCTTGATTTTTAGTCATTCAGTTTTGTTTCCAGATATGTCTGACGATGCCAAACTTGTGTAACAAAAATGTAATGTGAGTTTGGATGATGTTGTTATCCTTCCTCCAGAGAGAATTTACTTTTAGTTTTGGCAAGATGTTGGTGAAAGAGCAGACACCTTAATTCAGTCAGTGAATGAGAGGATTGGAAGCTGGGGTTCTGTCTTGGGAGGGCTGCAATATTTCCATTTTACCCTAATCTCAGAGTATAACCTCTTGGGGTCTTGCTGAAAGTCTGAGTTATTTACCTAGAGCCCCTTAACTTGACCTCCAATTTTTAGCTAGAATCTTTACCTCTATTTGTAATACAATTTCCTGGACCAATTAGCCATCTACTCAGCTACTGCTCTTTGCTCAGCTTAGGCATTTGTTATAAGTAGGCAGGTGCCTCAAGAAGAAAACTGTAGCTCCAAAGTCAGGTTCACCTCTGAACTTCAACAGAAACTCCATGGGATCTGGTTAAATCTCACCTCTCTTGATGCCTCTCTGATGCCTTCCTTGAATATTTCAGATGTTTGGTTTTTCTAATGGGAGAATTAATCTGCAATAGAAACCTCCTATATCAGCCTTTGTTTCTCAAACCAGTGTTTGATATCTCTGAGGGGTTAAGGGGAATCCAAAAATCATGATAATATAGTGCAGCGTTTGAGTGATTGTTCTGGCAGGATTAAAATCCCAGTGTTGCCACTTCCCAGATGGATAACCTTGGACAAGCACTTCATCTCTTTGTGCCTGTTTTCTAGCAGTACTTGTCCTCCAGGTCAAATAAACTAATATATGTCAAGTGATCAGAGCAGCGAATGTCTGGTACATAGTAAGGACTTAATATAGATCAGTTATTAGTATTCAGCAAATACATAATAAGCCCTACTCTGTCAGCTGCTGGATACACCCCATGGTGGAAAAGACAAATACAGTCCCTTCTCTCACGGGACCGACACTCTGGTGATCCATAATTAAAAGTCGGTAAACAAGATCATTACCAAAGAGAGGTACGTACTGTGGAAAGAGTTAAAGAGGATGATAGGGCAGTTGACTCCAGCAGGTGTAGGTCCAGGATGAGTCAGTAGGGCTCTGTTGCCAACTCTGGGGTCTTGGAGGAAAAGACCCAGTGAGTGGCAAAGAGTGACCAGGCAGTGATTTAAGGCTAAGGGGTCAGCAAAACATCTGCGATTGTTACATGACAAGATGAGACCTGACTGACAGGAAGGAGTAAGTCCCCTGAGAATTAGGGGAAGATGCCTGCTTTCTAGGCTGAGGGAACATGTGCAATCTCCCTTGATCTGGCATGCTTGGGGAACAGAGGGAGGCCTGCGTGTCCCAGAGCATAATGGAAGAAAGGGAGAGAGTTACTGCATGAGACCTGAGAGGTAGGCAAGGGATCAGATCACACGGGGCTTTGTAAATCAGGGTGAGCCTATGGATTTCATTCCAAGTGTACTGGCAAGCTTCAGAGAGTTTTATGAAGGGAAATGACAGTATATTTTAAACAATATTTTATTCAATTATTCGTGAGAGACACAGAGAGGGAGGCAGAGACAGAGAGAGAAGCAGGATCCCTGCCGGGAGCCCTATGTGGGACTCAATCCTAGGGCCCTGGGATGGTGACCTGAGCTGAAGGCAGATGCTCAACCACTGAGCCACCCAGGTGTCCCAAAAATGACAATATTTTTATTGCAATACGATCACTCTGGGTATTGTTTACAGAATGGATTTTGGGAGAAGCCATTGCAGGAGTACAATTGAGAGATGATACTTTGGACAGAGTGGTTGCAGACGTGGAGAGGAGTGAGCAGGCTGGAGACCCAACCCGTGTTAGTGGTGAGTCAGAAGATGCTTGAGCAAGAGAAAGAGGGGAGTCAATGATAATTCTTACCTTTCTGATTTGAACAACTGGTGGATGGTGGACCTATTTGTTAAGTAGAAGGCTGGGGCAGAAGTCAAGAAGGATCAGGAGTTTTGGATATATTAATTTTGAGGCTCCTATCAGGCAAGGATTCATTGGGTCATTGGTTTGAAAGTCATCAGATGATAGCTAAAGCCATGAGTCTAGATGAGATTTACTGGGGAGAGTATCTAAACAGAAAGAATAAAGAGATGTAAGACTGTGGCCTGGGCTACTGCAGATTTAGAGGCTGGGGAGATAAGGAGGAATCGGAAGGAGTCTGAGAAGGAGCAGCCAGTGAAGTAAAGCAGTGGTTCTCAAAGCATGGTCCAGGGACCAGCAGCCACAGCATCATCTAGCACTTGTTAGAAATGCTGAATGTTAGGCTGCACCTCAGCCCTGCTGTCTCAGACATGCCAGGGGTGAGGCCCAGGAATCTGTGCTTTTATTGCGCTATAGATGAAACCAGTGAAATGGAAGAAAAAATGGGGAAGGTTGTGTTTTGAAAGGCAAGAGAAGGAAATCTTAAGAGAGGGAAGGACTGGTTAACTCTGTGTCAGTGCTGATGGGAGCTCAGCTCAGATGAGTACAGAGGCCTGGCCATGAAGTTTCGTAACGGGGAGGTCACTGTTGGCCTTGACAAGTGTGATCTCGGTGAACTGTGGGTGCAGGAGTGGAGTGGGTGCTGAAGAGGGAGGGAATGAGAGGGAGGGAGTGGCCAAGACCATGGACCCCGTGTTCAGTAAAGGGTTAACTCAACCAGCTTAGGGTGCTCAAACCCTGCACATTCCAAAGAAAGGACTGGGCCTTTGATCAGTGGCTGGTAGATAACTTCTGAGCCCTTCAAATACCTTGCCTAATCAGGGTGTCTTTGCATACCTTGAAGGGTCATATCAGAGAATTTATGTTGACAAAGTGATTTATGGAAAACACCTGCTTCAGTTTGACCTCTGGATGTGGAGGCTGGAGAGTGAGTAGTTAAGGCTCATGCAGGTGCTTCATGCCTCTGTGACTGACTCCCAAGTACAAACCCTGGACACCAAGGCTCAGGTATGCTTCCCTGGATGTACCTTTTCTGTACAGGTGTCATACTTCACTGCTGGGAGAATGAAGCATTGTCAGTGGCACCCCCTCTCCCCTGGAGGGAACACCTGGAAGCTTGCTCCTGGGCTCTCCTGGACTCTGCTCAATGTGCCTTTTTCCCTCTGTTATCTATTCGCTTCAAGAAATCGTAATCATGAAAATAACAGCTTTTCTAAGTCCTGTGAGTCCTTCTAATGAATCATCAAACCTGAGGGTGGTCTTGGGGACCCTGACACACCTGCTTTTTCAAGAAATCTTACAATGATAGGAGCAAAGAAACAGTGAAGCCTAGAGGGGCATATTGGCTTGGGGTGGGGGGATTTGGTTTGAGGAGCTAGGAGGGCATAATTGCAAGCCTGTTCGAATGATAAAGTAGACAAGGGGAAGTTGGTAACTCAGGAGGGATGTTTTTGACTAGGTGAGGGGTATGGAGTCCAGTACACAAGGGCCTATGATAGGAGCAGGGATGGTTTGCTCTGAGTGGCAGGAGGACAGCCGGAGGATGTGCAGGTTTGTAGACAGGTATGGTGAGGTGATGATCATTTTGTTTCCTTAATGGGCTGTGGAGTAAGGTCACCCTTGAGGGTGTAGGAAGCGGGGTGGAGGGCACTAGGGGGTCTGAGGAGACAGAGGGTCTGGTGTTTAGCTATTTTGGAGAGCAAGCCCTCGCACAAGGAAAGTGCTAAGATTGCAGGGCAGGAAGAAATCCCCTTGGAGATCTCTGGCCCTGAATTTAAAAGGAGAGTCCACACACATCAGAGCCCAGTGCTTTTCTGCATCAGTGTTTGGCTGGGCAGGTGCTGGCATGAAGCAGGTGGATGGGGGGGATTAAACCAGGGTTGGACATTGCCAGCTGAGTGGGACAGAGGGAGAGAGGGTGTTTGTAAGTAAATCAGTGCAAGAGAGGATAAACAAAGTGTATCTGCCAGCTGCTTAATTTTGTTCCATGTTAAGTAATTAAAAGCAATATTTTAAAACAAATCTGGATTCATTTTGGAGAATGAAGAAAGCACACAAAGTTTTAGGATAACTCGGTAGACTTCAGATTTGATTTTCCTGTTTCAAGTGCTGCTTCCAGCTATACCCCTTGGTCTTCATGGGGTGAGTTCGCTTAGGTGGAAAGTTTGGGAAGCTTTGGAAAAATCTGGGAAGGCCTGTCCTACCGGCATGACTCCTTGACCCGACTGACCCCCTAGCATTACCCCCTAGCTGTCTGGGGACACCGTCCCACTATGAGCAGTAACAGTATTGGTGGAACAGGAGGGTGGAGGCCGTGTCCCTAAGATGGTGTGGACAGGGAGGGCTGAGGATTAGATCAAGACCTCCCAGGGGTAGGGTGGGTGCTGGAGCCGTTGGTGGGGGTGGCAGACCCTGACACTGTCAAAGAGTCTAGCCTAGAGGCCAAGCATGTCAAAGGGATCCAGGTAGACTGTGGAGCAGGGACAGGCTGAAATACAACAGAGTCCCTCCCTCTCTCCTTCCCTGTCTCTCTAGGGCCCAAGGGAGGCAACGCTCTGGGGGTCTAGGCAAGTGACTCAGGCAGATTGGGTCTCAGGGAACAAGTCAGGGACCTGGTTCCCAGAACTGGGGCACGAGGTGGGGATGGGGTGTTGGGAATGAGGCCAAAACCCAGTTATCAGAACTGGGACACTTTCCATGTGGGACTTGTGTTCTTTACATCTTTCCTGCATAAATCCCGGGCAACAGGGTATGTGTGCACCTGGGAGCTTGAGGAACTATCAGTTTGAGAGGCACAAGTGGGGAGGCTATGGAACACCAAGGCTGCACCTCCTGTCTTTGCCTATTGCCTTGCCCCAAGTAGCCATCCTCTTCCTGCCCGGCACCCCCCAGGAGAGCTCTACCCGTGCAAGAAGAGCCTCAGAGTAAACATCGTTTATTTTGAACATTCAAATATACAAAAACAATAAAGTAACAAAACCCTGGACATATCTCATACACATACACACATACACACACATGTTGCATCTCATGTCACTTTATGTACAAAATTGGGCGGGGGGGGTGGGTCACCATTAGGGTGCACTAATTTCACAGTGTCAGACAGCTGCATGTGCTCACTCACTGCTCAGCCTGGGCCCACACGAGCCCCTTCCCTACCCAGCAGGGGTGAGGTGGGGTTGGGGATGGCAGGCAGCTGGGACAGAGGGGAAGAGAATAATCCCATATTTGGGAGGGACTCCTTCCCCAGGGGTCAGGGCAGGGTGCTAGAAAATGTAGAGGAGCAGGGACCCAGTTCTTGTGGTGGGTAGGGACTACTGTGTTGTGGAGAGTCAGATCAGGTCTCTGGGTGTCCCAGCTGGGTGGCTGCAAGGGCCACTCACCCTCCTGGGGCCTCGGCATCATCTATATAATGAGGCTTGGGCCTCTTGAAGAAACTTTTCTGCCCAACTGTGGTCCTAGGTCATGCATGATTGTGGCAAGGTGATCTGTCCCCTCAGGATGTTGATTTAGGGGCAAAACACACCACAAAGGGGGGGGTGGTGGAATCTGGCAGATTAGAGCTGTGAAGCACCTGGCACAGGGCTTGACTCAAAGCAGAAGTTTGAGAAATATCATTTCCCCCTTCCCTGCCTGGGACTCTTGAGTGACCATCCAGCTTCCTCTTCCCTTTTAGTTCTCCTGGAAACTCTAGCCAGCTGGAGAAGGGCTGAGGCGATGGGCACACTGTAGAGACAGAGGTTCCCTGAAGGGGCTGAGACCTCTCCCACGGCTTCACCCAAGGGGGCCCTGGCCTTGGGGCCAGCCCATCCCAGGCCTCTTCCTCCATCACAAACCGTGTGAGGGCAGTGAATGAGGTCAAGCACATCTCTTTAGGGCAAAACCCACCAGGAACAATGATGCTCAAGTTCTACTCCATAGAGAGTTGGGGTGCCTATCCCTTCGGTCCTGGCTATAACCTGCCTTGGTTTGAAGTCTGGACTCCATCACCTGCCAGCTGATTAACACTGTAGGTTACTTAACCTCTCTGTGCCCCAGTTCCCTTCCTAGGATAACGGGGCTAAAAACAATCCCAGTTTATAACTGTGTTGTGAGGATAAATGAGATGATGCCTGTGAGGTGCTCAGCACAGTGCCTGACACTTAAAAAAAGATGTAACAGGCCCCAGCATCACTGTTAGCCAGAGCAGCTCAGGGACACTAGTGAGCACCATTTCTAGCTCCTCTTTCCACGTCTTCTTGGCCATGCCCAGGAGCAGCTGAACAAGATCAAAGCGGGGGGTCCATACAGCAGGCATTCGGCAAAGGTGAAGAATGATCAATGGATGAAGGAAGGGGGTGGGGGCTTTGGGGCTTTCACCTTCTTGGAATGGAAATGGGCACCTAGGCCACTCACCAATGGCCCAGACTCACAGCCTGCACCTCAACACCTCTAATTTGTTCCTGTTCCCTCTGGAGGGCTGTCCAGAGTGACTCAGCAGGGACCAAGGTCAGATGTCTCATTATCACCATGACAAAGCATGAAGGACTTGGGATGATGCCTCTGGGTGGGCTCAAGTTCTGTTCCGTTCCTCCTAAGGCCCCTTCTTTTCCCCAAGGCCTCTACAAAAGCTGCTTCCTTAAAACCAATAAGGGAAATCCAATAAAGCCCAGGGTCCCCGAAATCTAAGTTCCGAATGCTGCTGTCACCCCAGCAACAGCATATGTCATTAAGAGCCGCTTGACCCAGCGCTTGGGCTGATGTCATTGACTGTTACCAGGGCAACCTTGATCTCAGCAGGTTCTGGCTGAAGCACGCCATCACTTCTTCTAGGGGGAGTTGGGCCTGCGGTGCTGAATGGTCTGTTTGTGCTCTTGAAATGGCAACAAGGATCTGGGGGCTGGAAGCAACAAGTCTTGGAGAAGCCTCCATGGCAATGGGCCCCACAGCCTGCAGCTCTTGAATCATGCCTCGGGTTAAGTGGTTGGGGAACGGGGAGTGGGGACAGGGAATGGAAAGCAGGGCAAAAGGCACCAGTACCTTCTCAAGTCAGGTAGCCTGCAGCTGCTCAGACACCTGGTAGGTGACTGACAGAAGGGATACCTGCTTTCCATTCCTGCCAGAGTGCCTGGGGATCACCCCTTCCCCCCCCCCCCACTTCCTGGAGGGAGCTGGATGCCAAGATGTTTGTGTGTTTCATAAAGGAAGATGTTCATGTTGGAAAGCATTCTGACCTCTTTCAAACGTCCATCCTCTCAGGTGCAGGCTGGACTCAAAGACATTCATGGGCAGGCAGTACGGTGTAGGGTAGAAGGGCACTGAAGAGGGTGTCAGAAGCCCTGGGTTCTAGTCCTGGTTCTGCCACATTGTGCTGCGTGACCCTGTGCAAGTCACTTGACCTCTCGGAGCTCTTCTCCATCTATACAAGCAAGAGTCAGCCTGGGTGGCTTTCCTCAGCTTTTACATTCTTCTACTGTCTCGGGGGCGCTGGCAAGGACTCAGGTAGGGGAGCTAGAAGCCACCAGTCCTCTCCAATGGGCAAGGGTGCAGGCTGGAGGGCGATCCAGAAAAGGTGGTTTTTACAATCTGTGCATGAAGTCGGTCTGCTTTGGCCCTTGCCCTTGCCCCTGACTCTCTGGAGGAGCTGCTGACCCTGACCCATGCCCAGCCAGAGCCCATCTGCTGCCTACTCTCACCATCTGTGCCTGCTATGTCCCCTGGTTCCTGGGCAACTTCAGGCTTGCCCCGCCCTAGCCACTTGGAATCAGACCATATCACGTTTCATCTCTCAGAAATGACCAAAGCAAAGGCGTCAGCTTACAAATGAGGAAGGCAGGCCAGAGAGGGCAGAGACTTACAGAAGGCCACACAGCAGGTTAGCAGCAGGGCTGGCTAGGAACCGTGGGCTCTTTCTCAGCCAGTGCTCTATACACCACTCCGTGCTTCTCCCCTCTTCACCCACTCAGTTCCTTCCTTCCTTCCCCAGAGGCTGCAGGGCCATGCAGAGGGATTAGGTCATGTGGCTCTGCCATAACCTGGGTCCCCTGGGCACATGCCTCTGTCACAAGCTGCTCCTAGCCCAGGCCCTGTCCTGGGTGTGGAGGAGGAGAGGTGACCTGCCAGTTAGCACACATGTGCATGGATACAAGGGGTGACTGTGGCCTTCTGGCCTCCCAGGGTCCTGGTCCCTCAGGCTGGAGCCGGGAAGGGGATATTCTGGAAATTGAGGTGGGGGTAGGCCAGGCATGGAACCAACATTCAAACCACTGCATACAAAGAAACAAGGAAAGAGGAAGGAGAGAGAGGGTGCAGGAGGCTCCATCAAGATGTCCTTCACTGGCAACTGGTGGAAAGATGGAGGATGGGTGATTCTGAGTCTCCCTATGTCTCGGTCATCCCCTTCTCAGCTGGGAGCACAGTTCTAGAGCTTGCTGTGGCTCTGAAGGGGAAGGGGCCGGGCCTGTTGCATGGGGGACAGGAGGGCAGACAGCCACGCCTGCCACTGAGATAGTAGGTCCTGCCCCCCATACACAACTCCACGAGACATGCTGTTGAGATTACTGGATTCAGACGTGGTTGATGGGCCAGGGTGGGTGGGGGTAAGAGACAGCTCCAGTGTAATGCCAAGAGGGTGGACAGTGCTGTGGGCACTGCTACCACCCCCAACCAAACCCTAGACTCACCCCAGGCTTGACCTGTGGGCTTGAGCTGCTTGTCCCTATCCAAGTGGTGTTAGGGGACAGCCATTGCAGGGTAGGGCATTCTGGAGGTGTGGGTATAGGTGGGGAAACAGGAGGCCTGGCCAGGAACAGGGCAGGAGGGAAGGCCAGTGGGTAGGTAGGCTGAGGAGGGAACATGTGCCCCCACTGTAAGGTCCCCAAAATGGCAGGCAAGGGAGGGACCCTGGATGAAGTAGCCCCTCATGCCTTGGCCCTTCCCTTGCAGACATCAAAGGTGGCCTTTTTTGCACCCCCGAAGGCTTCCACCAGCTTGTCTTCCCAGGGGAGGACGTTGCCCAGCAGTGGCCCGGTACAGTTGGCAATGCCCAAGACCTGGGCAGGTGTCAGGGCGTGGTCCCACAGGTTAAACTGGGCGATGTCACCCACGAAGGCCTGGGTGGCATCAAACCGGCCACCCAGGGTGTCCTAGGCCAAGAGAGTGGCAGAGAAAGGAGAGAGAGAGACATAGAGCGAGTCAGTGGAAAAGACAGGCAGACAGGCTCAATAGGGCCTCAGGTCCTGCTGAAGCCCTGCCCCCAAGGCTCTAGCCCCATCCCAAGCTTCTAGCTCTGTCCCTAAGGTTCCAGCCCCTTGGGCAGTTCACTGCTCATTCTGGGTCTTAGTTTGCCCATCTGCAGAATGGCTGGATCAGACTGAATGATCACGGACCCCTCATTCTCAGGGGCCTTGGGTGAGTGTGGTATCTACTCAGACCCCAAGCCCCCACACCACCTTAAATCTTACCTGCTCCTGGCCCAGGATAAGGATCCCATGAGGCTTGATGGGGTGCCAGGCGGCCAGGTTCTCCCCAGAGCCCTGCAGCTCCCCGTCCTGGTAGGCAGACCATAGGCCATCCCTTGTGGTCCAGGCGATGCAGATGTGGTGCCAGCTACCATCTTTCAGGCTCAGAGGCAGCTGGGCTACCTGGACAGAGGTTCCACAACCCCAGGTCAGAGGTGCCACAAGTCCCAAGGCTGGACCAGTGGGGTGGGGACAACGAGACCCGTGTCCTTTCCAGGGACTGAGCCAAGGCTTGACCCTCCCCTTCCTCCAGCTTTGTGTCTTTCTGATCACTTTCTTCTCTTTCCCTACAACTTAACCAGGCAGCTTCTCTCAGATCACAAGAGACTACTCAGTATTGGTTTTCAGGTGTTCCCAGGTACCTTATTCACCCTCTCACCCTGTAAGGTCAGGCAGGGTGAGAGCCACGTCTCACAGCCTCTTATCACCTCACACAGTGCCTGGTACACGGCTGGGCTGAAGAAGTACTGGCAGTACTGGACCAAGCCTTGGACCCAGAGGCTGGGCACTGGCGTCCAGCCCTGGCTCTGCGAACCAATCTCCTGTGGGACCTTGGGGAGGCTGCTCTTTCCTCCCTGGGCCTCAGTTCCTCATCTGTGAAGTGAGGAGGTCAGGCAAAGAATGGCAAATATGTGGCCACCTCTACCTCAACCACCCAAGGAGAACAAAGCTAATGAATCGTGAGCCCAGGCTCAGCCCCGGGATCTTTCCCATCACAGTGCTCTGGGAAGCCTCTGGTGATTGATTAGCGTTGGCCTGTAAGGTGAAAGGTACTTGCTGCCTGTGGATTTGGGACTCCCAAAGGGCTCTTTCATCTAAGTTCTGTGAGATCACACTTTAATACAACATTCTCTGAGGCACACTTAGTGCCAGGCCTTGTTCTGGACACTGGGGATGTGGATCTGGTCCTGGCTGTAAGTGAGCTGAGTTTGGGTGGGAAGGAAGAACTATAAGGGCAATATTATAAGACAAAATAACAGGGCCCGTTTGGGAGGTCCTGAGGAAGAGGCAGGTGTGGGACAGCAGACATGGTATTCAAACACATCTGGAAGGACAATGGAGCCAATGTCTCATTGCAAGTCAAAGCAAGATGGGGGTACAGCAGGAGCAAAGGCTAAGAGGCTGGAACAAAAGAGGAGAACTGAGTAACCTGTGAGGTTGATGGGTTTTTTTTTGTTTGTTTGTTTGTTTGTTTGTGAGGTTGATGTTTTAAAAGACTCTAGAGGTTCCTGGAATAGGAATGGTCTGTGCCCTGTCCAGGGTGCTGAATCCTCTCCATTGAGAGCAGAGCACCGAGCTTGGGCAGGGTCAACGATGGCAGCCAGAGGGGTATCAAGGGGACATGGCAGCAGGATTGAGATGTGGTCCAACTATCTTAGTCTTCTTAGGCCTTACTGGGCTACAGGAGAAACTCATTGTCCCCTGGACCCATTTCCTTCCTCCTTCTTCTCCAGGACACCCATGAAAGATGCCTCCTGCTGAGCTGGCTTCTTTTTTTTTTTTTTAAAGATAATTTATTTATTTATTCATAGAGACACACACAGAGCGGGGGGGGGGGCAGAGACACAGGCAGAGGGAGAAGCAGGCTCCATGCAGGGAGCCTGACATGGGACTCGATTCAGGGTCTCCAGGATCACGCCCTAGGCTGCAGGCGGCGTTAAACCACTGCGCCACCGGGGCTGCCCCTGAGCTGGCTTCTGATGGGTGATAGCCACTCATAGCAGCTCCATGTGGCTGTGGGCTGGTCATGAGTGGCTGTGATATGTGGTATCTGCATCTCCAGGGGGTCTCGACAGATCACCATGCCTGCCACCATGCAAATCCCAAAGCAATATGGCAGGCAGAGGAGGATATTGAGGGGAATGAGGGTGGTAAGACACTGCTCAGTCACCATGCCCTTCCCACATCACTCCCCCATGTCCTTGTCCTGTCCTTCAGCCAAGTCCGGGGAGGGCTGTGGGGCTGGGTGGCCCAAGCAGGGGGAAGATGGGTGGCCCAAGGGCAGAACAGTGGAGGGGTTAAGAGGAGGTTTCTGTAGCCCAAGTCTGAATCATATCACCATTCCTTCACCCAATGTGGCCCGGGCGCATTATTTGCCCTCTCTGAGCCTCAGCTTCTCCATATGCAAAGTGGTGATAATAAGGGTACCTACCTCCCAGTGCTGATCATGTGAGTAAAGTCCTTCTCACTACAACCCCACAAGGTAGAGACTATTATCATCCGGCTTGACAGATAGGGAACTGAGGCATAGGGAGGGTAAATGACCAGTCTAAGGTCACACAGTGGGTAAGGAGCAGAACCGGGATTTGAATCCAGCATTCAGGCCCAACCATGCACCATTCTGCTCTCCATGTGAAGGGAGCGGCAGAGGGGTTGCTGCAGGGGAGGAGGGGGGGCACAAGGAGTCCACTAGTCCTACCCTCCCAGGTAGCTCCCTGGACCTCATTTATTTCTCTCTTTGTCCAGGAGAATGAGCAGGGCTCTGGAACAGACACTTCCAGCCCTGCTCCTACAGTTGGGTCCTTGGGGAAGCCCCACGGGCCTCCTCTATAAACGGAAATGCCATCACAGACAGCCTCTCTTTAGCCTGTCCTGGGTCTGGATTGTCTCTGTGTTCCCAGAACCCAGCCTGGCACACAGCAGGCACTTCCCGTGCGCTGAAGCTGCCGAGCAGCAGAATGGAAAGGGTCCACATGCTTGGGACCCAGCACAGTGCAGGGTAACCCCACCCCCGACTTTCCTCCCACCCCACCCAGCCCCCATTCACCTTGTCATTGATCAGCAGTTCCATGGGGTCGTGGCCCGCCTCCAGCAGCACAATCTCATTGGCCTGCCCGGGCACCGAGTAGGAGAAGGGTGTGCCCTGGCCACTGCCACCCGACCTGGAGCGCAGCCACATGCAGACGGTGAAGGCGTAGAGCTCGGGCAGTGCCTTCCGCACACGGGCGTACATGTAATTGTTGCGGATGGGGATGCTGATCTTGAAGGCATCTGGGGGATTGTAGGCTGAGGTTCCTGGGGGGAGCAAGGTGGACATGGTGGGGGTCAGTGGGCACTATCAGGGGTGGCAAGGCAGGCTCTAGGATGAGGGCTCCTGGTCCTTGGGCATCTCCCCTGTGCCAGGTGCCTTCACGGCCTTCTCTACCTTACTTCTGTGTTGACGGGTGTGGTTAAAGCAGAAGGGCTCTGGACCTGAGATGTCCTGAGTTCAAATCCTACTTCCATACTTCCCAGCCACGTGACCTTCCACAAGTTCAACTTCACCTTTCCAGCCCTGGTTTGCTCAGTAAAATGGTATAAATAAGACTTCCTCCCTCCCAGGCTTTTGTGAGGGCCGAGTGGGACAAACTAGGTAAGGGGCCAGGCCCTTGGTAAATGCTCAAGAAAGGTGAGCTATTGCAATGATCATTTTTCTGAGTTCTTTGCCTATTTATTTAACAAGCACTACACAGAGCCTTCAGGTGGCAAGCACTGTTCTAAGTGCTTTTACATATATGATCTCTGTTCTTATGACACCGTGTGAGGTAGACATTATTATAATCCTCATTTCACAGAGGGGGAGCCTTAGTGCAGAGACATTAAGTAATCTTCTCAAGACCACACAGCTAGTCAGTGGCAGAGCTGGGATCTGAACAAGATCATCTTGTGACTCCTTGGTATCCAGGGCGTCTGCTAGTGCAGAGTTTCTGGGACTGTACATCTTGAATATCAGAGCGCTGTCTGCAGGGGGAGCCCTGGGGAGTCACTACCTCCAAGGAAAGAGAGTAACACCTACCATACCCACGTCCAGGGTAGGAGTTCCCTTCCTCTAGCTGGTTGTTGAGGGCTGGACTAGGGGGTTGGGGCTGGGAATGGTGGACCCAGGTTCCCAGGTCTGATTGGGGCTCAGGGTGAAGGCTGTTGTGCTGATGCATCATGGTAAGAGAGGAAGGGGCTCAGTGCTCATTGAAACCCATTTCATAGATGAGGAAGCTGAGTCCCAAAAAGAGACACAACTTGCCCACAGGCACACAGACATCCAGCCTAGTCGCCTCTCTGCCCTGTAGCCTCTGGAGGGCGCATTTTCCCCAATCCCTTAGAAGATGCAGTCCTGAGGGGCCAGTAGCACTGGCCCTGAAACCCACCAGCCCGTGCCTCGCCTTCAGCTGTGCCCTTGCTCCGGCCCCTCCACTCCAAAACTGGCTGTCCACCTCTGCTTTCAATGATCAGCTTCAGGGTTGTGAGTCTCCTTCAGGAGGCCTCTTGGATTTTCTTCTGAACTGCCATCTTACATCTAAGCCAGAAACAGACTCATGATCTCCCCCTGGTAACCCTAACTTGTCGGTAAGCCTCTTGAGGGTGATCCTCACAAGGTTTCAAAGATGAAAGTTCCCTTAGAGCTCATGAGTCCTACATCCCCATATTTCAGATGAGAAAAACAAGTCTGGGGAAAGGAAGCAAAATTCCAAGGCCACAGAGCAATCCAGAGACCTCTTGTGGAGCTAGAAGCCAGGTTTCCTGATGCTCAGACCTGTGCATTATCCATGACAACATGTTTCTCTGACTCCTGGCAGTGCCAGGCCGAGGTGTTAAGCAAGGAACAAAATTCCAAGTCCCTGAAGGTACGTCTTAGTGGGGTGGTTAAATGCTTGGACTTTGGAGTCAGAACTGGTTTGAGGTGTAGATCCACCACTCACTGGCCGTGTGACATTGGGCAAATCACTTGACCTCTCTGAGCCTCAATTTCCTCATCTGTGAAATGGGGATAATAACAGTACAATTCCCATGTTGTTTGTGAAGATCAAAACTGACATGTCAAGTACTTAGCCTACTCCCAGAACGTAAGTGCCAGAAAATGCTGTTAAAAAATATTATATTCCCAATTATTCTCTCCCTCTTGGGTTTCGCAGTCTCCTTCCCACCCTCCCCTCTAGCTTTAGCCTCTGGAGAGCTTAAAAATCCTTTCAAGTGAATCTGCCACCTTGAGGACCTAACTGGGAATCAAGACCCTGCTTGCTGTGCCCTCTGGGGTCCCCGGACCCACCATGCTCCAGTTCGGCTACACGGTCCTGCAGTGCATCCAGCTCCTTCTCCACTTCCTGCTGCTGCTGGTGGCTGCTGTGACTGAGAGCCACACGCTCCTTCTCCAGGGCCAGCACCTTGGCCAGCAGCTGCCCCTCCAGCTCGTCCATCTTGGAGTGCAGGGCGGTGGGCATCGCAGGCGCAGGGGCGGGGGCAGCTGAGAAGTTCACACGGGCTGGGAGCTCCTGCTGCTTATGAGGCAGAATAAAGGGCATGTGAGGTCACTTGGAAGGAGGAAGGGGAGAGACACAGGGCTCAGAGATGCCTACTACCGCTGTCGAGTGACCCCAGGTGAGCCTTGGCTTCCCCAAATGCAAAATGGGGATGGCAATACCAAATTCAGGGAGCAAATGTTCAACAAAGAGCAGGTCCTTTCCACTGCTGGTGCCTGAAAGCAGGCTGGTGCTGTGCATGCTGAAGGCAGGCTGGTTCTGCCCTCAAGAACACCTCAGCCTATGGTGGGCGGGGGGCTGGCTACAGAAAGCTCCCCTTTCCGTGGTTCTAACATTGCAGTCAGAGTTACTGCTGAGTCCTTGGTAACTGGAAGCCTCTACACTGAGGGGTCTTTGAAGGGGTGGACTGTCTTTGTCTTCACTCATTTACTCCCTGGGCTTCTCTATGATGGTGCAAGGCTCTGTGTGGGCGCTGGGCAGATGCAGAGGCACAACCCAGGGGCATATAGGGCTGCAGGGGGTGCCCATTCCAGAATAGCATGTGGGTAAGGTCATAGGCTCCTAGTCAAACAACCCAGGGCTCAAATCCAGCTCCAGAATTAATCTGCTGTGTGACTCCAGGCACCCCTCTCTGAACCTCTGCTTCCTCACATGCAACAGGGGACAACAATTTAGAAGGGTTGGGGGATGGTTAAGTACTAGGTGCCAATGAAGAGAGCCTGGTTATTGCAATTACTGTCCAGGGCAGAGTGTTCCAAGCTGGTCTCTGATACCCTCATGCTGCCCAGGATGAGGACAAAGTGTTTAGAGGCCCCCTTTTGTTGTCATACGACCCTAGTGGGCAGGAGAAGTGGGGCAGGAGCCTCAGGAGGCCTCTCCCCACCCCTCCTGCTGGAGGAAGCCCCTTCTGGGGTAGAAGAAGACAGGCAAGGCTGCCAAGTCTGGACTCTGGGAGGGGATAGTCTCTGGCAGACATTAATAATTCATTGAGCTTCTAGGAGCCAAATTAGACCTTCCCTGTCCCCCTGGCTCCCTCCACACTCTCCAAGGGCCCAGGCAGCTCCCACTGTGAGCCCTGGGCCTTGCTCAAAGGCTTAACCCCAGACCTGAGCTCACTGAATTCTCAGGGTTCCTTCACTGAGCAAGGAATTGGGGAGCACCAATGATGGGTTGGGCCATGCATGCAGCACTGAAGAGACAGCTGAGGGCAACACAGAAAACCAAGAGTACAACCCTGAGGGCCCTGTGCCTCTCAGGATGGCCCCTGGCTTGGGGCACAGGAGACCCCTCCCCAGCCTCACTGGCCCTGCCCCGGTCCTTCGTTGGGTGAGATTGGGCAGATCGCCTCTCTGGGGCCTGTTTTCCGGCTGTGCTGAGGGGATCAATGCGTGTCCGTATCAGAGTGCTGGAGGCTGGGGCGGGGAGGGCAGCACCTCAGAGAAGCTCCCTCAGGCTGGGTAGCTGGTTCTGCTACTCCACCTGGAGAGTGGGAGTGGGAGGCTCACTTCGCTGCCGTCACTTCTCATCTATAAAATGAGGCCTAGGGATCCCCAGCTTGCAGAGCTGTAGCTGTGGTCAGGATTAAATGGTGGTGTGCAGAAGGGCCCAGGCCAAACCTGGACCACAGTGGGCCACCTTATTTTTTTTCTCAAACATTTATTTTTACAGAGAGAGCATGAGGGGCATGTGGGTGGCTCAGTGGTTGAGTGTCTGCCTTTGGCTCAGGTCATGATCCCAGGGTCCTGGGATCGAGTCCCACATTGGGCTCCCTGCATGGAGCCTGCTTCTCCCTCTGCCTGTGTCTCTGCCTCTCTCTCTCTGTGTCTCATGAATAAACAAACAAAATCTTAAAAAAAAAAGAGAGAGAGAGAGAGAGAAAGCATGGGCAGGAGGGGAAAAGGGAAAGGGAGGGAGAGAGAACCTCAAGTAGACTCCCCACAGAGCACAGAGCCCGATGGGGGGCAGCTCCCTGAGATCATGACCTGAGCTGAAATCAAGAGTCAGATGCTCAATGGACTCTGCCACTCAGACGCCCCCACAGTGGGCCACCTTTGTCCCCCCCTCACATCCCCCCCACCATAGCTACCCATCCATGCAGTCCCCTGCTTGCTCTCCCAGGCCAGGGCACAGGCCAAGCCAGGTGGGTGGGGCACAGGCCAGTGAGCAGCTCCGTACATCTAGCCCCACCCCTGTTACCCTAACCTCCCATACCCTATCTGGAGGGCTCCTTCTAACTCCCTGTGTGCCTACGAATCCTAACCCCAGGGCTGACTGAACACAAAGCCTCAGTTTCCCCTTCTGTAAAACTGGCCCCGCTCTGGTGGACTATAAAAGCAGAATGCAACCTGTGCACCTTGAATACGTCAACCAACAAAGAACTGGCAACCTCCAGAACCTTTCCTTCGCCACTTATGTCCTTGGAGTGACAGGGCCAGCCGCCCACTGCCTTTAAAGGGGCTGAACTTCCAGGAAATCTTGGGCTGAGGCAATTAGCTCATAAAGTGCATCCTGTCTCAGTGCCAGGGGGGCTGTGGCTGGGTCTCCTGGGCTCCGGCACCCTCTACTCTGTTCCTCTCTTCCCACAATGCGAAGCTTGGCACGAAGGGCATACGTCTGAATGAGACAGTGTGCCCGGCCCATCCTTGGCACTGTCTGTGTATTTACTCTTCGATCCTCACAGCCGCTCATTTTGGTTGGTACTCCTGGGGCCCCCATTTCACAGATGGGGGAACTGAGGCAGAAGTCCTTTTTGGATCTTCTACAGCCATGGGGCTGGGCAAAGCCAACACCCCTGGAGCTCTCTAGCAAAGCGCTCTCCTCCCTTAGAGGGAGAAGGGCCTGGCAGGAAGGAACAGGACGTCTAGTGCTATTTACACAGACGCCATGGTGAGGAGAAACCGTGCAGGCTGAGGGAGGCGGGCATGCAAGCTGTTCTTTTGTACGAGGCACCAGCTCTACCACCGGCAGGAAGGCCAGGGAGGAGGTGGGCTCTCCAGATCGTGTGCAGCCCCCTCCCCACCCCAATGTCTGAATCAGAAGAACATGACTCCCCCTACTTTTCCATCTGCTGCGGGCACAGGCTGTGCCGCGTGGGCTCCTGGCTGATGCCAACTGGGCCCCTCGCCCAAGATGGGGGGGGAGGGATGGTGATGCCATCACCCCCACTCAGGTCCCGCTGAGGCAGGAACGGGGGGGGGGCGCTTCGAGCCCACAGACTGTTGTGCTGGGCGTCTGTGGGGTGGGGCTCAGTGTGAGTGCACAGGCCCTGAGCCAGAGCCGGGGGTTCCAGGCCAGCTCAGCACTAGCGTGCTGGGCTCATTAGCGCTCAGCAATAATGCGACAGCGGCAGCTGTCCCCATCGTCACATATTGCGTGCCAGGTCCTGCACCAGGGAAGCCTGTGCGCACATTTCACAAGCCCTCTCGACCATCTGGGCAAGTGAGGAGGCCCACTTTCTAGAGGAGGGAACGGAGACAGTGAGGTGAAGTTTCAGGAACCCCAGCCCAGGCCCTTCTGGTTCCAGAAGCTATTCTCGTTCTTCTGTCCTTCCCTCACCGTGGGCCAAGAGGGCACAGTGCCAGCTGCCCTGCCTGTCTGGGATGGTGGGGGTGCTGGGGGACAGTGGAAGACCTTCCAGTGGCCATGAAAAGGCTGGGAGGGTCCAGCAGGCCAGCAGACCGTGGTAGGGGGTGGCCCCATAGAGGGACCTGGATAGGAAGGACCTGCCTGGGCAGGCTGGCTGTGAGTGTGGGAGGATGTGGGGAGGACCCAACCACCTCGCCCCCATGTGGGGTCTGCTCCTTTCCTTCAGGGAGCAGAGGGAGGGTGCTGGACCTCAGTGCACAGCTCACCCCCCACCCTGCCGGGACAGCGCAGGGCCCAGCTCGGGGGGCAGCCGGGCAGGGTGGAGGAGAGGCAGACTGTGCGTGTGGTCTCCTCACCTCCCCATCTGACCACCCCCAAGTCCAGCTTGAATCTGCTGGGTTCACAGCTCAGTTCCAGCAGCCCAGCGACCCTGTGTATAGCCACTATACCTCAGTTTTCCCAGCAAAAAGGGGGCACAGAAATAATATCTCATTGCATTTTAGTGAGAAGTGAGTTATATCTGTCCCGAGGGCAGAGCGGGCACACGAAGTGCTGTCAGTTATCACCACTATTTAAATATCTCTTGCAGGGGCCCATCCTTCTCCAACTCCAACGCAAATCTTTTTGTTTCATCATCATCTTGAGAGCAAAAGCAAATTACAGAAGAACCGTTAGATACTATTTGTATAAAGTTGCAAATATTCAAAACTAGATCACATATTTGTAAAAGCAGAAACACATGGGGACAGATGAATACGAATTCGGGACAGCGGTGACCCTCTCTTGGAGGAGAGAAGTCTGGGGCTGGGAGCTGGGAGGTTCTGAAGGGCATGAGCTGGTTGCAAACGTTCTGGTTCTTGATTCTGGGCTCCCACCTGGATGGCATTCTTTATGCCTCTGTGTATATCTGAGATACTCCGTAATGACTTTCTTTAAAAAATGGAAAAATCCAAAAGCAGAGTCTCCGAGGGTAGAATGGAGCCCTGAATCTTAATGGTGGGCTCACCTGGTTCCTTTGGCCCTTCCCAGTCCAGGCCCCCATCACCTGGGCCCCTACACTGGCCCTTCCTCACCCAGCAGCCAGGGGCGGCCTAACCAGCTAATCCAACCAGGTTGCTTAAAATCCTTTAAGAGGGGTCACCTGGGTGGCTCAGTGGTTGAGCATCTGCCTTGGGCTCAGGTCATGATCCCGGGGACCTGGGATCGAGTCTCGCATCAGTCTCCCCATGGGGAGCCTGCTTCACCCTCTGCCTGTGTCTCTCATGAATAAATAAATAAAAATTTAAAAAAAAATCCTTTAAGAGCCCTCTCCCAACCACCCATAATGTCCCCCTGATCTCAGCCCTCACTCCCCACCCCAGCAGGCTATGCTTCCTTCCCACTTAATGTTCCCAACTGTCCCCAACTCCCTTCTCACGCCAGGGCCTCCG